CCTTGGTACCACGATGGGGTGGCCGGCATCACCAAGGTGTTGCCCTATTCTCTTGCATCGGGAAGAAGCACCAGGGAACATTTTTCTGGCAAAAAGTGAATGAAAAAACGGTAAAAATGCGGATTTCTTTATTTTATTGACTGGCAGAAAAAACAGCTTAGGCGCAAAGATATTTGGAAGTTTTTTTTTGGCGGTGTGGCTGCGGCAGCGCGAAGGGCATAATTGTCAAGCGAAAGATACGTGCTTCTTGGGATCTCGGAAGTATTGTTTAAATATTTCATTGAACGAGTTGATTTTATATTGTTAATGGAAGCCCTTTAGAAGTTAACCTTGAAGGTGTCGCTGGATTGACCATGTATGCTTCTGAATAAAGTCCATTCTAAACTCCCCGACCAACAAAATACCTTAGTAACGCCCGCAAGCGCAACGGCCCAAGCAGCCAGGCGCTTATTTTCTGCGTCAAAAAAAAAGTGGCTGCCTACATTATTTTTGAAGTTAGATTCTATTATGGGTAAAACCACAAAAACAAAGCGAAGGCCTACGTAAGACCAAAAAATCCAAAGCTCCTGATACCCACCTTCTGGATATCTACAAACGTGCCTAAACTCAGTACTTGAATAAAAATAACTACTTATTGTAACAATTTAAATAATAGAATTGCCCTTCTGGTAGAGCTGTCGGGCTGCAAAGTCACTTTCCAACCTTTTCCACGCCATTAATATGCTATAATTCGAATTCTCAAACGTTGAAAAATGCATAAGTTTTCTTTAACGCAAGCCAACATCGGCAGCAAACCCACAAGCTCAGTGCGAAAAAGGGCTCTGCTAACCCAATTATAATTCAAACGAAAAGAATGGCAAGGAACCCAGAAGAGTTATCTTTACACACATTCGGGGTGCCAACTGGCTCTGCCGTAATGTCAATATTTAGTACTCCATTTTTTTGTGGGGGAAAACTAAGAGTTTAGAATCCTGGCATGAAGGCATTGCGCGCCTTGCTGCATTGAACCATGGTGGCCACCCGGTGCCCAGCACCTTGTTTTGTAACAGGTGTTCCTCTCACAACCTTCTGGTTAAGATCCGGACGCCTTGGGTCGGCCTGCGGGGGGCAAAATGGAGAACCCAACCATCTTGCTGAAGAGGGTCCAGGCTGCTGTTTTGGCCAAGTTTATGCTGCTCAGCGGTCAAAAAAAGGAGGGCTTTACAAGACAGTTCTCGGCCTTACGGCCGCCCCATCGAAAGGGAGGGCGCGCGGCAACGGAAGCGGTTTAAGAGTTTGGATCCCTTCGGATTGAGCCCTTCAGTAAAACCCTTCTTAATCTGAAAAAAAAATCCGCAACGTGTTAGCGCGTCCGCGCTGTAGCGGGATTGGGTCGGGCGGCGGCCGGCTTCTGGAGTTGGGGGCCGTTTCGATGAGGTGTGGGGGGCCATGCGGCGGCCCGTCGCGTCGATGTTGCTAGCCCGGGAATCCAATTTGCTCATTGTGGATAAGAACGCTTTGTCCATAGAAAAGCCAGAAGAATTCAAACTGCAGAAGCCCAGCCCCAAACAGGATGTGTGGTGCATTTCGCGGCGGTAGGGGGCAAGCTGCCTGATCCTAGGCGGCGGTTTGTTCCGCAGCCGGAGACCAAAAAATCCATGGCAGGAGTACAAAGTAAAGGTTTCACCGGGTCAAAAATTTCAGTGTCCGATGCAGTTTCTGATCGGACAGAACTTTTATTCGACCTAAGGTGTCTTTATTCAAGGTGGCCCCTACAATGGGCATAGGGAGAAGGTTTCGCTGTAAGCGAAATAAAAGGCTTTTTGAAGTTTACACGCCCACCGTTTCGCGAAAAATGCAAACCACAGACCCCCCAGCCATTACAAGGGTCTTGGCGGGAAGATCCGAAGCGGCACCGCCCCAATTGAGAATCTGCGCTTGAATTAATAATACCGGCGCGTGTGAGTTGCAAAAAACTCTAAGACTTCGGAAAAAACATACGGCCCATTTTCTGGACCAGGGGGCGCCATGGGGGGGGGGCAGCGGGTCGGGAGAAGCAGGTGTAATTTATTGGGGCGCCCCTTCTCGTGAGCAAAAAATTGTTGGTGTGAATCAAGAAACGCCACAATGACTACAGAGCCCCGCCCCATTGCCCCGTGGCGGTGAAAAAAATAAAAGGCATGGTACTCCGGATTGTGTGTGCAGTGTGGGTCCGGGTGAAATATTTGCCTCCACATTATTTCTTTTTAAATGTTATGCGCCGGCGTTGTTTTCGGATTGGTGGGGGCCTGTCCGCCTCCAAGGCCATGTGGGGACACAATCGAATGAGCCCGAATTGCGCACAGGAGCCCCGCCCAAAATCATTGAATAACGCACCCGTGCGCCCTTCAACTAATTTTCCAACTTCCTCCCCACTGGCAACGGGCGTTTCCGTACACATATATGGCCGTTTGATTTAAAGAAAACGGGGAAAGGCTTGCCAGCATGTGGTGCAAGGAAGAAGGCGCCGCTTATGAGTTCCAAGGCGGAAGCAAACTCTGAACACATTGCCCTGTGCGCGCTTCATTCCCATTTTTGGGGACATATGCATTTTTGTTGGCAACGTGGTAATCATACGCACTATGCGGACTATGAATCCACAAAAGTAAGCTTTACTACAAGATACGGTCGCAGTGGACAAGATACTACGTGATCTTTAGGAATAATCTGGTTTGGGATGCGTGACTTTAAGCGCAAACTCGGCAGATGACATTTCGAGAGGCCGAACCATAAACCACGTAGATCTTCTGAAAGAAGGCTGCGCGGTCTGGGAGTTTGAGGCCCTAAAGTTGCCCGCTCGTATGTGGCATTTTAATATGATAGCTTTAACTCTTATAAAATCGATGAGCGGTACAACGCAGAAGACTCAGAAATATACCCTATTAAACCCTCATTTGTTGAAAAGTCAAATTGCCTTAATTGGACATTTCCCATTCAGAATCGTTTATCCATCAAATCAGCTTCTTGCTTACGAAAGGGCAGCTTTATGGCCCCACTCCTACAGAGGCCTTCTCACTCCAATTTGCAAGTGTCTTCCTTTTGCAAATCCTTCACCGAAAACGCCCACCGCATGAAGTATCACCCGCCGGGTTTTTAGGCCCACCGTCGGCATGTAGGAAAAAACCTCACAAATGTTGCGTTCCTCGAACAACGCCCAAATGCGGAGCACCTCCCAGAAGAAAGCATGAGAATTCTTCGGCGCCGCTGTAAGCAGTTCTCCGAACCGAAGTGTAGTCCACCCGCACTTCCGGATTGGGGGTCAAGATTTCTTTAAAAGCACAGACTGCCAACCGGAATGCGCGGGCTTTGGCTGCATGTTAAGGCGCAAATGCATTATCCAACAGCCATCAGAATCGTTTTTTTTTCACAGAGTCGGGAAAATAAAACACACCCTAACCGTACGTAAACGCATCGGCTATCCAAGTGGCCATTATTCTTCTCCAATGCGTGAAAATATTTTAGTTGTTACCCGCCAACCTCAATCGCAGTGCGTTCCCAACTTCTATTCCCAATGGGGAAAGATGAACCGACGATCAAATCTGGAACATTCCTCTGTTCAACGCCGATGGTCTATGTCAAATGGTTTTATGAGAGGCGAATGTGATCTATCTATATATTTTCCTCGTGTCTTCTCGACTCGTTTCGGTGGCCATCCATAAGTCCACTCGCATGTTCGAGGGGCCGCCATTTCGAGCGCACCAGCATCACTACTCCCGTTATTGCGGAAGTTCAAAATCTTCAATATTTTAGGACTCGCCCTGTGCCCCATGGCCAATCGGCCAGCCCCACGAGAGTGCGACCCACGACTCGACACTGAAAAGGATGTCGCGCTTCCACCGGAAGGGCAATCTAAATGAATGATGCCCGGAAATCGTCGCGCAATGCCGCCCCCAAGAGAAAAAAAAATTTTGACAGCACCCCTTCTAGCCTGTATTACTCTGGCGATTGAAAATGTATTTTCGCGAAGCTCCTTTCGTGACTGAGCACCCCTGACCCCCCTTTCCATCACGAGGCTGTGGAAGTGGCACTGTAATTGATCCAAAATAGCGCAAGCTGTGACGCAATATAATGCTTTTGATCATAAAGGCGAATTGCAAGGAAACATTTGCTTTGTATGCTACCAGTATCATTTGCATTAATACAAAGACACACAAAGGGCACATTAATGTATGTGATTGATACACTAACAAACATAAAAGCAGCACTAGTATATTTTTTTAAAGTTTGCGTCAGGAATAATCTGCTACCTTACATCACTACGGCACTAACACAGTAATACATTTCGGATCCGTTTATGATTTGAATTCATGCCTGTAGCAAAGCATGTAAGTCTTAAAAGCCCGCCTAACCCAATCATCTCTGCCTCTGTGCGGGAGGCGGGTTGAGGATGCCTTCAAAACGTCCGTTTCATACGTTTTAAATGAGATGGAACGGAACATCTTCAAGCACGTTTCTCGTGGTAAAAGGCTTTTTGTCTTGTGCGAAGAAGAACGCAACAAATGACGTGTTAAAAATGACAATATTTTACGCTTTCCTTCTTTCTCTCTTTAGCGAAAGTAGTGCAAATACTATTTTTTGTTGTTTGGATCTGTTGTTGCTAAACAGTTTATCAGCAATGAGTGGCAGATTATGGTAGCATAGGTGTCTTTGCACTAGTAGAGAAACCGATGTCTAGAAGAACCTTGTAGTTTTTTTTCTTCCTCTTATGAAACAGCATGCTGCACCCTCACGCAATAATCAGGTTTTTTTACATCAAAAAATCGTAGAATGTAGACGCCTTCTCTCACAAATGATATTTATTAAATAACCGGCTTCCCTTTGGAAGGGCGCGGTCACTGTTTAGCGCTTGGTGAAATCCAGATGGCTTAAAGGCATCATACCTAAAAAATACAGTTTCGAATATCCCTTGGATGCACTCATCTAAAATAACGTATGCAACAACAGGTTGCTCTATTATGTTTTCCCTAAATGAGTGCTGTGCGATGTGTTGCTTTTTAACTGGACTACGCTGAAGCATCTCGGTATGCCCGAAGAAAAAATTTCTTTGTGCGACACAGAATGACAATTTTTATACGGTTTTTGGGGAAGCCTTACAGGGCACCAATCGCATATGTGGTAGAGCATCCTGCTTTTGTGACGTTTAGGTTTATCGAACCTTTTTGCTCAGCGGCGTAAGTAGCACAATTTTGCTTCGACTCGGCTTTGTTGATGGTAACTGATTCAGATTCACCAAGCGCTTGTCAGCATATCTCGTTCAAACAAAATGTAAACTATGCAGGGAGATTTCTTTAGTGCATCTTAGCCCATGCCAGCTCATCTTGTTTAAATTTTATTCAAAGTTTTCTTTCAGAAAGAAAAAAGAACAGATATAAAGCTAATTATTCGTTGAAACTCTAAAATTGTAGCTGCGGGGGTTCAAACTGGCGGTGTGACAAAAAACCACTTCTCACTATACAATGAAGCTGGCCCCATTAAAAACTGTTTTCAGTGCTTAGGCCTTTGCTGATGCATTGCACACGTCTTTGGTCCGCGCTCTTGGCATAGGGGTGATAAAAGTCAACTACAGCTCAAACGTGCTTGGCTTTCTTTTTTGAAGTTTCTGAGGAGAATGGTCAGATATTATGTTTGAGAGTTTTTGTATTGTTTTTTTAATTTTTCATATTTCTATAGAATATCGCAAATTTCAAGGTTTACAAGTCAACTGAAACTTTTCCTTTCCACCTTACAAGCGCGATTGGGGTTAAAAGCCCCAGCGCTTTTTTTTTGACATTAGCCGGAAGGACTTTATGGACGAGACTCCCTTTTGGCAATGGCTTTAAAAATAAGCTGTGGTGCAGGAAAAATAAAAAATTGCTTTTTTTTATTCGCACTCACCGTTGGGGAAAGCAATATCTAGGTTCTGCTAATGTTTTTCTTCTCCTACATGTCGTTGCTGAGCGTGTTTCCAAGGGCGGCAAGTAGCGACAGCGCCGCCAACACCAGGTACCCAGGGAAGCCTTACAATAGTTTGGTTTAACTTATATGTTTGTTTTGGAGTATATACCACACACTTTAGTTGTTCGCAACGCTTCCCGAAAGGGTAGTCGCCAATGTGGGGCACCGTTTGCTGCTATGGTTGTCTCCTCTGGCGCTGTTTTCTTCGTCGGCATCGGTGAATTTCAATACTTTGAGCGGTTGAAATAAATAGCTATTTATCACTGCTGCATTATAGCGGCCAAAAAAGGTAACTATACACAACATTTTGAAAAGAGAATAACCGTTATATTGTCAATGCGCATATGAAGTATAATTGGCAAACTTACCTCGAATGCCCACAAAGCCAAACTGATTGCGCTAGCTTCGGCTTGTGAAATTATGTTTTTGGTCTGTTCCTATGCCCCTCCTTTGGCCCATGCCCCCGCCCCCCGCCCTTAAGCAACAACACCCCCCTTCCACACAGGGAAGTGTATTTGGACAATGCCCTGGAAGTGGGTAAATCCGTGGGAGGTTTTCTGGGTTGTTTTTCAATAAGGTATTTAACCAATCCTTGAAAGCCTTGACGGATTTGGGGGGGGGGTATAAAAATGCCAGATCTTGAGGCTTTACTAACCCCTAGTTGTGCCGCGACAATCTTCTACAGACCATTTTTAGAAGGAAATAGTGGCGAAATAGCGAACCCCCTAGCATCCCTGCTGCACGCATCCGGCGTGAAGTTATGCTTTCCAGTTCCTCCACGGAAATATTCTGAAGGGGTGCGGCGTCCCTAATTTTTCACATTCTTAGAACCCAGATAAGCGGCACCGTGTGTGTTCACAATACATGTTTGAATCAATAATATCTGTATTGACGGGCCTCGCGCATGCGTGGGGCCATGGAGTTGCAGTGTTGAACAAAACATGCATCGGTGTGGCGCAACGGTTGGGGAACAGAATGCCCTCACAAAAAGTTATGAATTCATGGGGTGTGGTTCAATCATAAGGCAAACACGGCCTCTCTCTGCGATATAAGGTTTCTGGGCCCCCCGCTAAAACTCTCGGGCTAGCATGCAATATTTTTGAACCACGTTTATACCCCATTGGAAGCGGTGTGAACCCTACTAGTTTCCCGCTTTTTGTACGACACCGGAAATTCGTGCGTATCTCTGCTGGTAAACATACTTGGAAAAAGGGGACCTTCATATAAAAAATAACTGCTGTTTTATTACAAACAGCAACCAGATAGCACGAGATATGCCCAAGGGAAACTGAGGCTTCGCAGTTTTTCTGTTCATTTTCCGCTTTCAGTCAGACTATGCAGCGTCACATCGGCCATAAAGGTTTCTTCTCCATGATAGTAAAAGGCCAAAGACAAGCTGTAGTGGGTCATTCCGATGCTTTTTGGATGATGCCTACCTTCTTCATTGCTTCGAAGTCTTCTTCGGATATCCTCAAGGAAGCTCCCGTCTCACCTTCTCTGAAAACTCGGTCTGTCCTATGATTTCCCCTACATTATTAAAACGCACAGCGTCTTTAAGTTAACTCAAATTCTGACCCAGTGGAGTAATAGAGTCGAAACGTCTATCTTTTTAACGGCAATATTTGCTTACCTTCCTTGTCGGCTGCCCGTGTGCAGTGGCTGCGTCGCAGAATGCTGTGCCATTGAAAAAGCTCCCTGGAATGTTCCTTTTCTCAGTTTAGAAAAGCCCACCGCAATGTTGCCCTTTGCGCAATGCTCTCCACGTGTCTTCCGTCAGGTGGGCCGACCTGTTCACGAGAGTGACCCAATGCCTTAAATAGAGAGCTATGCTGCGTGGTGCCTCTAGAGGGGTTGTGTGTTTTCCAAGCTGCGTCAGCAGCCAAGGGCCAAAATCGCGTTCGATCACTGCCGCCGCCGCGCGGACCAATGCCCCTCTTGTTATTGATATGCGCCGCCATGGCGTATAATAGGAGAGCATTTTTCATGCCTTTTCTTGCTATTATTTGGGAGCCTTTCCCATTCCACCATACCCTTTATTACGGCTCGTGCCTTTTTGGCACCTTCTCCGCCGATCCGCACATACCGCGCCACTCTTTGGGGGTCGATTGTGCACGTTTCTGGGAGAGCCCCCCAGTCCACAATGAGGGCCTCCTTGCCTCGCGGGTGTGGTATAAAGTTTTTTTGTTGGAGTAGAGCTATTTAACCCCACTGGCTGGCCATTGCCCATGTTATTCGTAGTGCGGCCCAATAGTTTTCAAGGGCCATAAAATCTCTGATGCGATACCGCCCCCGAATCTCCATCGGGCGACCCTCCTTATTAGGTTTATGTTTCTCTTTTTCTGTAAAACCGGCCCAAAATATGAGCCGATATTTCTTCTGCGGCCAGTAAACTAAACAGAGTTCTTGCGCATTGAGCAGCACAACTTTTGGTCAATTGTAGACTTAAAATAAAGAGAGGAACATTTTCCCCCCAAATCTCTAAACCGTTCCCTTCCGCCAAGTCGCAGAATCTTATTATGGACACCCTTTCTTCCCAAGCCGATTGTGCCCACATAGTTTGGGCAATCCGTTTTGCCCCTTAAGCTACCGCTGCGGCATCCGGCGTACCGGACGGTGCTGGGATAGCAGAGGCATCCTTTACTGATGCCTTGAAAAGTGGAACCGCTTGTCCTGGGAGGGTCTTCCAACTTCGAGAAATTTTTTTGGGGACTCTGCAGCACAAAAAGTTCATGAAGACTGGCAAACTGGGGTGGCGTTCCCGCCCTAATGACAGGGCATTCTTCTTTTGCACTTGCTTCAGAAGCGCGTGACACATCATGTGTGGATTTAAATATTTCTTTGGCCACGGAGTTCATTGTTTCCGGGGCTGATAATCGTTCTTCGGCTTGAATGTTGTGTTTTGTAATTGTGCATATCGTGTTCTGGTGTAACGCCCGATGCGGCCGAAGCGGTAACACCGCGCTTTCCTTGGAGGAGGAGCCGTGTTTTTTTTGGCTTTCCGAACCGCCTGAAAAACAGAGTTGTCCTTCATCCGTGGATCATCAATTGTGTAATAGATAGCTTGGATCTCTGCGCTGGCGCGTTCCCGGGCTACCGGCAGAACGCGCAACTGATAATGCAGCCGCCTGCCCACTTGCGTCACTTCGGCGGATATCCCTTCGTGGCGGATGAAATCAACCCAAACTACGAAATCGAAACCAGGTTTTGTTCTGAAAGAGGTGTAGGACAGAGGCAACAGAACAACATCACGATATGCCACAAGTAGCTGTTCTGGTGGTGTCTCAAACAAATACCCCAATGCACCTTCGAAGGTCCATATATTTTTTTGTGGTCGGAAACCTTTTCCACAAATTTATTCCTGATTTCTAGGATTCTTCGCACCCTAACCTGGGGTAGTGCCACCGGTGCATGCCCCTGCCTTTCACCCTGTTCAAATGCATCATCTTTATTAGGTTCCAGAAAAGTATGCACGACCAGAGTTCAAGGGCCATCTTCGAGCTCTGGCGCATTATGCTGTACCAGTCATCCTTGTGGATTCACCACTGGTTTCGAGTATGGGGTTTCAATATCTTTCTTGTTGAGCCACATCTACATCTGATTCATCTGGGCACGCCTCTGGTTGGTTTCATTGTGCGACTGATTGTTTTGATACTCCAGCGTGTTGATTTGGCGCTGCATTTGATTTATGCGATCTTGCACGCCCAGATGTTGAGCTTAGGCGTCCTGTTGAATTTTTAAAATTTCTTCGGCCAGTTTTTCCCTGGTCATTTCGCACTGCTGGTATAGTATCGATTTGCTGTCCTCCAGAGTCATCCATTCGCTCCAAAAAGTCGTCCGTGCATTATTGAAATCCTTTAGAAAATCCTCATTATTAGACATCTTGAAGGGCATCATGGAGCGCCGCAAAGAAACAATGTTTTGCCTTTGTGCCATTGTTCAGATGAACAGTAAGTTCACCGTTTTCAATACCCACAGTGCCCTCAGCATGATGCACCTGCATACTGAAATTCAGCTGGTACTCAAATGAAAAGGGTGTACGACCACAATGTTCAATGAAGGCCCTGAGAGTCGTTAGGCCCATCCTCCATTCCACTTCCAAGATCGATTACTGGGTAATGGTCGGCATTGTACAAACCTGCTTCTGACTTACTTGTGTTTTCAAAACTAACAGTTTACGAAACTTTATTTTCTTAGTATATATAAAGTCCAGCCAAAAACTTATGATGAATTTGCTGTCAAAAAAAGGCAAGGTTTTACCATTCCTTTCGCAAGCTCCAAAAAAAAGCTAGCATTATTCGCCATGCTTTGGACCGTCTTAAGAAAGGGTAGGTGGTTCCATTTCCCGTGGTTGAGAATAAGCCGCCCGGGAAACGACCACATTTACCGAATGGACCGAGGCTTCAAATACCCAGGAAGGTTACGAAGCCGACGTTCCTCTGGCTCACATTTTCCACTATCGTGATGCCGTTTATCGTGAATGGGCCGCTTTGTTTGATCCAAAGGCTTCATTTTTTCCAGGTGGGCCTATCTGAAGGTACTTGGGCAGGGTTTCGTTGCCGCACGGAAAGCAAAAAGCTTGTGAAACCAATCGGCTTCCAATTGGCCTCAAATGCTGCTCACCATTACGAGAGTCTTGGCGGGTGACCCGGAGGTGGTAAAACTGCAGTATGCATCCAGGAGAACAGTTGAAGATGCACACGCGGATTGGCAAAATACGCATAAGCACACCACAGGCCATGGTCAAACAGCGGGGCAATTGCGTTGCAAAGAATGCGCAAGAGTCTGCAACAGCAGTTAGAGAACACCAAAATTTGTTCCACCGGTATGAATTTATTGGGGTGTCGTTTGACAATAAAAGAAACGGGCAGTTTCGTTGAGACACAAAATGCTACGAAGATTGCGTGAATCGCATTCGCTCCAGACAACTTCGATCTAAGACATGGAGAGCATGGCCCCCCGCATGTTGCATACAGCCAGGGTACGAGGAGAACCTCTCTTCCTTTACCGCTTTTTTCTTAAATATGGTGAGACGACGCTTGCATTGCCTCAAGGCGGGGTTGCCACGCCCCACTGATTGTGCCCGTTTGCACACGCGTGCGCCACAACTTGCGCACCAAAAACTTGGAAAATTGGTGAAAAACAGACCAGTACGTCGGTCGCGAACCTTGCCACTTCAGCCACGCTGGTAACGGATGCTTCTATGCACGGCTGTGGAAGATTATTTTTTACAGGTTCGGGGGAAGCCTAGATTACCGAAGAAGCTTGTGAAAAAAGCGCCCCCCGCGATATCGCAGCCAGAAAAATGAGCCGCCCATCTGACATTACTTCCTTTTAATCACTACACCAAGGGTTCATCGCACATATGCGTAGATATCGCAACCGTGATGGATATCATGGAAAAAAGAAAACGCCCATTTGACTGCTTTTGTGCGCAAGGGTGGGGCCATAAACAGGGCGTTCTCTGAGCATCGGATGTATGCCACATGGGGTTATGCGGCTTCAGAAGGCAACCCGTAGACGGAATTTCTACGGGACGGTCCGTCACACCCAGAGGCATAGCGACGGGGTGAAATTTGCGAATGGGGGCGCGGGGGCCAGGTCAAAAAGCTTTTAGCACTTCCGTTTCGTAAGTAGGGACAAAATATGAAGTTTTTGGGAATATCTTTATTGTTTTAACTCTTTTGAGGAAATTCATGCAAACAAGAAGGGTTTGTCGAGATTACAGTATTCTTTTTCTCGTGTTGAACAGCGCAACAGCGCAAGAACATTCCCAACCTTTCTGCAAAACAATTTCCCAACGGCGTTTTCCATTGATTTTTGACCGGGCCATATTTCATACTTAATTTATCACATGAACAGTTTTTAACTTTGAAGTAAAACCTTACGGCACTCATTGATAAGGCTCGCAAAATGAATCTGGCCTCGTTTCCATTCTTTTTGGTTTAATTTACAATACCCAAAAACAAATACTTTCTTACCACTTTCGAAGAATCTTACTCAGTTCTTTGCTCCTGCTTTCTTGCTTTGGACGAACGAAGGGTGGATTTGTGTCAAAAGTGTTGGCGCGCTTTCGCTCAACTTGTGAAGATAAAATTTCGTGTGCAGCAACACGGCGAGGTTTAATTTAAAGAGTCGCAACACCACCTTGCACAAAGGGTGGAGCAACTCAACCAGAAGGATACCCAAGTTAAGCCTATAAGGGATATACTTGCAGCTTTGCAAACCCAGATGGCGGCTTCCAAATGGTTCGCCAGCAAAAACCCCAATGAAGAGAAACCAGGCACCAAAGCGTCCAAAGATGAAAGGAATGCGCCGCCCCCCCAACCCTTAAAAGAAAGAAAACAGTTTACTTAGCATGAAAAGAAACTGCCCAAGACCCTTCGCTACAGACAGTTCAAAGACCTTTTTTTTTTTNTTAGAAGAAAGAAAACAGTTTACTTAGCATGAAAAGAAACTGCCCAAGACCCTTCGCTACAGACAGTTCAAAGACCTTTTTTTTTTTGTGGGGCTAAACGTTGGGGCTTGTTGGAGAAAAGTGTCCGGGCAAAGAAGAACATTCAGGCATTCAGCAGAACAGTGGGGTTCCTAAGGAACAACTTGACGAAGCAGCCGGCAGTCACACCCAAACACCCATTTCCAATACAAGCTACACTGGGCCCAGTGTATGAAGATTCGTGGGGAAATCTTGTTTCTTCTGTCTCCGTTTTTTGCGGTTTCGAGGTTACGGAGAATTATTTACAACTCGGGAGGGGACCAAGGAGAAAGATTGATATTTTGAATAATCTATACCTTACCCACCTCTATTAGGTAATGAAAGAGTAGGAGAAACCTAATATTCAATTCCCATCGCGAAAACAATGCCCCAAGATTGCATATTTGGACGGCGTTCCAGTATACATAAAAGCATTGGCCATATAAGGGATTTAAAATTATGTATCAAAACTGACGAAAAGGAGGTGCTGAAAGGGCCCTTAACCCGCCCCCCGCGCTCCCCTTAGCAAGCCCCACCCCTTCGCGATGTCCGTCGGTAAAACTTTTACCCCACGTGAGATGCCGTCCGCAGGATTCTTTTCCGACGCGGCATAACCCCATGTGGCGTGTAAGCCTTGGTCCCGCAGAACCCTGTCGATAAGCCCTGCCTCCCCCGCCAGGGCATTGGAATGTGTGTTGCCTTTCGGCATACTATGCATCACTTTCGCGTTGTCGATACATATATGGATTTGGCCGGTAAACCCC